TCTCACGTGGATTTTTTTTCAAGGAAATTGATCGGCATTTTTTTAGAACCGGATTTACTAATAAATGATCACGTGCTGGACTGTATCCTTAATAATAATAATAATAATAAAAGGGATTTCAGTAAGATGTATATAATGAAATTTCGGTATAAAGAGGTAAAAATTATAAAAAATTTTTTTGATGGATTTCGTTCGGTAAATCGAGGTTAGTTATATAGTAATTATTTTGTATTGTATTACGACAAAAAATGGTCTATATTAATATTAATATTAATATGTTCATTATACAAATCAAATCTGATCTTGATATGTAATTTGAGTTTAGTAAGCGTGTGTCACTACTATTACAAATTTTTTTTTGTTATTTTATATATAAATATAAAAAATAAAAAAATGTAAAAAAGTTTTTAATCAATTTAGTTAGTAAAATAAATATGGTATCAAATAAATCTGATTTTCAATCGTCACCACCACCACCGTCATCATCTTCTTCTTCTAATGGTTCTACCATAAAAAAATCTAGTGTTAAAAATGGAAATTCTATAATTCATTTTGATAGCATTGAAGAGGCATTAAAAGATTTTGGTAAAAAAATTAAAATTCTTTGTATAAAAACAACACCAAATTAATTTTTATTTATTTATTTTAGCTGAAGGAAAATTTGTTTTAGTTGTTGATAATGAAGAACGTGAAAATGAAGGTGATTTAATAATCGCAGCTGAAAAAGTAACAGCTGAAAAAATGGCATTTATGATTAAATATACAAGGTAATAAAAAATATATAAAAATATAATTGCAAGTTTTATTTAGTAGCACATTATTCTAACACTGGTATTATTAAATATAGTGGATTAATATGTGTACCAACTTCACCTGAAAGATTAGATCAACTTGAAATACCATTGATGGTACCCAATAATAATACTGAAAAATTAAAAACCGCATATACAATATCTGTTGACTATAAACATAGTTAAGCATCATATTGATTGTATATATGATCTATTTATATTTATAATCTATTAAACAGCTATTAAAATAATATTTATTTTTATAATCATAATCATAATGATTATTATTGTTAGATACTACAACAGGTATATCAGCACATGATAGAGCTTTAACTGCTAGATGTTTGGCAAATCCTGTTATAACAAATCCTAATGATTTTAATAGACCTGGTCATATATTTCCATTAAGATATACTCCAGGAGGTGTTTTAAAAAGGATAGGACACACTGAAGCATCAATTGGTAAATTTCTGAATCAATCTTTCTCTCTCTCTCTTTTCCCTCTCCTCTCTTCTATCAATTTAACTCTTTTCAATATTTAGATTTATGTAAATTGGCCAGATTACAGCCTGTTGGTGTTATTTGTGAATTAGTTAAAGATGATGGATCAATGGCACGTCGTGATGATTGTCGTTTATTTGCTGATGAGCATGACTTGAAATTGATTACGATTGATGATCTGATTAAATATCGTTTAAAAAATGGACATTTAGAAATTTAATATTTTTTATTATTTATTTATTTAATTTTATAATTTTTATATATAAATCACTGAAGAATCCTGTCTATCATGTTGTGCGTGAATTTGAAATCTGTGTGAATGTCAAATTAGTCAATCAGAACTTTGTATCCAAACACCCTACCCCAAAATTTTTAATTATAAATTCACAGACGTATTCATATGGATTTTTCTTGATATAGAAATAAATTTACTTGTTTGTTTTATTATTATAAAAATATTAGAGTTGTTGAGATATGCTTTTAATGGTAGTATTGGATTAAAGGAATAAAAAATATCGAAAATATTATAATACACCCAAAGAACAAAATTCAAGTTAAAAAATACTCAATTTCGTTACAAATTATTTCACGTAACCTAGCCGAATCTACTACGTATTCAAGTTTCTCTTTACACATGCATAATTGAACCAATAATTACTTATTGCTCCGTGTACCATTAGTTTCGTGTTATACTGTTGTACGTGAAAATAATTCGCGATTCACATGTGAAATTCAAATTGGCCAATCAGAATTTCACCCCACTACATAATTTCACATACAACTAAAAAATTTTAGATCGTTTGATCAACATTTTTTTTAAAAAAAAAGTCATTTCAAATACAGTAATTGATGACAATGATGAAGGTTTGACTAAAACAGAATTGAAGGCACAGATAGGAAAGACGTGGGGTCGAGATAAAGGTATTGCAAATTTTTTGTTCAAAATATCGAGTTAAATTTAAATTTAAATTTTTTAATTTCCTAATTTCATAATTTTACGTGCTTGAATGTATAGATATAACATATATTACTGTATTATGTTCAGCAATTATAATTATTTGTTGTCCAATTCTTGTGTCATTGTTTTGGACCATTTGTACTCACTATCAATGTTCATTTTATGAGCCATTTCACCTTTTTGTAATGATTGAATTTTCCAAGGAATCTTTTAATGATTATTTTCTACAGAAACTACCAAGTTTTTCATGGGAGGGACTGCAGATTTATTTTGGATGGCTGATTTTCCAAGGATTACTTTATGCATTTTTACCAGCCAAAATTGGTTATGGACAACAAACACCAGCAGGACATATTCTACCATATAAAGTAATTTTATTATGATGACTAATAATTTTTATATTATTCATAAACACAAATATAATTAAATATAGGTGAATGGGCTTTTGGCATGGGTTATAACACATTTGATCTTTATTTTTGGAGCATTTTATTTTGAATTATGGAAAGCATCAATTATCCATGATAAATAGGGAGAATTGTTTGTAGCAGCAAATATCTATAGGTTTTTCCTTACATTCTTTGCTTACATCAAAGCATATCACATCCAGAAGATCGTAAATTTTCTGGCAGTTTTATCTATGATCTATTGATGGGTATTGAGATGAATCTAAGATTTGGAAAATATTGGGATTTCAAACTGTTTCATAATGGAAAGGCTGGAATAATTGCTTGGACCCTAATAAATCTCTCATTTCCTGCCGCTCAATATAACAAAATTGGTATTATATTAATTTTTTGGGATGATGGATTTGATCATATTAATTACTATACATACCCATATTTTGCATGTGTATATATTTAGGGTATGTAACAAATTCAATGATTTTATTGAATTTTTTGCACTTGGTTTATGTTTTGGATTTCTTTTATAATGAAGATTGGTATCTTGGAACAATTGGTAAATATTCTGTTACATGCATATAATCAATATATATATATATAAATATAAACATAATATGTATGCGTGTATATAAATATTAGATATTGCACATGATCATTTTGGATTTTATTTATCATGGGGTGATACTGTATGGCTTCCATGGATGGTAAGGCTTTTAATCTTGTATTTAATTATAATGATTCTATTATTTCATACACATGCCTATATAAATTTTATATCTGGGTAGTATACAATACAATCACATTATTTAGTTAGAAATCCAGTAGATTTGCCTTGGGTGAATTTCTTTGTTATTCTATCAACTGGATTGACAGGATATTATATTTTTAGAGCAGTCAATCATCAAAAAGATATTGTAAGAAAAACCAATGGTAATTGTAAGGTTTGGGGAAAACCAGCCAAAGTTATCAAAACACAATATTTAACAAGTGATGGAAAAATCCATTCAAGTCTTTTACTTGTTAGTGGATACTGGTGCAAGTATTAATTATAATAATGTTGACAATTAGAAGGGATTCATTTAACAAAATTTTTCTCTATGGGAAAATCAATAAAAACAGGAATTTCACATCATTTCAATTATGTTGGAGATTTATTAATTTCTTTTGCTATGTGTCTTACCTGTGGATTTAATCATTTATTACCTTATTTTTATATAATCTACATGACAATTTTGCTGGTTCATTGTATTTGAAGAGATGATACATGTTGTAGGGGTGAGTATGGTAAATACTGGGAAGAATATGGGAAGATTGTCAATGTCAATGGAAATTATTCCCGGTGAGATTTTTTAAAAATTGTATTTTTTTGAAGATATATTTATTAAAGAAATTTTTATTTATTTTGGATTATTTAGTATATATATTGATGGAATGTGATGTGTGATTGGTGGGTTAATTGAGGTGAGTTAATTGATTTATGTATGTGATGGTGTATTTTACTGCATTGAAAATTATTATTTTTTATAAAAAAAAAAATAGAAATTTATAGAAACATTAAATAAGAAAAGCCTTTTTACAAATTAATATAAAATAATGACTATGTTACAAAAAAAAAAAATAAAAAAATATAGTTAAAATCTAAATTTTTTTAGAAAATTAAATCTATTTGATTTTTTATCAAAAGCTACAGTAGATCCACTCATTCCATCATCAAAAGAATCTTCAACATTTAATAAATTTTTATTCTTATTATTATTTTCATTATCTGTTATTTTAATTGTATAATCACTATTCCTTATTGATGGTGTTGTTGATCTATTAACTGTAGGTGAATATAATATTTTTGGTGTTGATGAAACATTACTATTATTACTATTATTACTATTATTACTATTAATCATATTGTTGTTGTTGTTATTAATGGACGGTGATGGAGTATCATTAATTTTTGCCGGATAAAATATTAACATTAAAGAGACAAATACAACCCAAATTGAAAAATTCAATTGAACCATAAGTAGATCTGCATAAAATTTGGTGATATTTAAATATTTGGCTGTTGTCAATGCATCAATTGATAACGCTGTGAGTGATGCTGATCCTGAAAGCAATCCCAATGTTAAATATTGATTCATATACTATTATGAATAAATAAATAAATTAATTGATTATGACAATTTTTCCTTAAAGGAAACAAAATAAAATTAATTATTAATGCTTACTCTGAAATAATTTAATTTACTGAGAACATTAACTGTTGGATTTAGGCGTCTTGTGTGCATTAATAGTTTTTTAAATCTATAATCAGATCTAAACCCTAGCAATGCAATTATCAACATAATTATACCATATGCAAATTGTGGTGCAAGCTCGGAATTTAATTGATTTGACGAGAAACAAAATTGTAATGTTGGGAAGAGAATTGCGCTGCATATTGAAAACAAAATATATGATTTAAATTCTAGAATGATTTGGAAAAAGTCAATTATTAGCTATTTAATTAATAATTTTTTTTTTTTTTTAATTTTCTAAGTCAATTTTTTATTTTTTATTGCTTACCAAGACTTCCCATAAATGATGATCTTGTCAAACTACTTGCGAGATAATTCCAAAATGATTGTAATAAAAATAACAAGCAACTAAAAAAATCCAATTGAGCCAATTAGTTAGTCAATCAATCAATCAATTAAATAATAAAATTATATATAAAAGCGTATTTACGTTTGGACACTGAGATTGGCACAAAGAACGTAATTTATTGGCACAACAAAGTCTTGATTTTTTTTGCTCCAATATGGTTGAATTTTCGGTCTGTATTCACCTGGATTAAAAGGGTCCGGTAAATATCCTTCTTGATATTTTATAACTACTATTGAAATATCATATATTGCTTCCAATGGACATATTAACAACAACAATAATGTTATTACCGATTTCTAAAAAAATATAACAAAACGAAATTTTTTTAATTAATTCAAAATTTCTACGAGGTATTTATCATATCATTATCATTATCATTATTATTATTACCAATTCGAATCTTTTAACACGATTCCACCGCAATGATGCAAACCTATCAATAAACCAAACGTGTTGTAAAAACCAAAGTGAAGTATATGCTGTGGACATTGCACGAGCTTTTCAAAAAAAAGAAAATTAAAATTTGATTATTATTATTGAAATTGTCGTGACCATGTTGAAAACGAATTTAATGAAATTTTAAACTTACATAAGTATGAAAAATCACTTGTATGAGTCATCGTATAATGATGGTGTGATGAAATTGAAGAAGTCGATGATTGAATCCCGGATTGGTAAGAGGAAGAGTAAATGAATGTGTATTTATTTAAATAATAATATTAATAGTAATGATTTTTAATTTTTTTTCTAATTTTTAATTTTTTTTCAAAAAAAAAAAAAAAGAAATTTAATTGAAGAAATAATAAAAAAATTTTCACTTCTTAAATTCATGTTAAATATTCCAATACTTTTGTAATATATATATATAAGAATAAAAACGAATTTGATGAATTCCTTCTTGAACAAAAAAGGCCGAGATACTGACTGACTTCCATTATTATGTGTTACTGTTGTGCTGAAAATGAAATTTATGTGAATTTGCAATTCACGTACGTGAAATTCAAATTAGCCAATCAGAATTTCATATCCAAACACCCCACCCCAAAATTTTAATAATTTCACATAGTTTCAATTTCACATACAACAACATTACCCAAATATATAAATAAATATGATGCATTGTAAAATTAGAACAATGTGACAAAATCGTCACACACATATTTTTGATGTAAAAGTAGTCAGCCGTTATAATGAATTAAATTTTGTTGCTTAAAATAGAGGTGAAAAAAATGACGACGATCTATTTTTAATTTATTTTGAATTTTTACGTGTTTACGGAATTGACATTTCTGATTTTAATTTAATTGATATTGATGCAATTGATCTAAAATTCCGTCAATCTACTTTATTAACCAAATTTAACCAACAAACTTATCAAAATATTATTTAAGAAGTAAATAAATCCCATATTAAAAAATATAATTGGTTTCGCTTTGTTTTTATTTTATTATTTTTTAATTTTAATTTTAAAAGGAAAATATATAATAAAAGGAATATTGGTTTTACTTGTTGGTTATTTTTTGAGATAATGACAATTGGTCAACTTCAAATACTAAAACAAAAATTTTTTAAAGTTTTATTGTTCATGACTCAAGTTTCACAACTTATCGGTTAGTTTTTTCTTAAACTAAAACAGCATTTTGAAAATTCCAAATTTTGTATATAGAGACTAAATGTGTTTTTCGTACTACATAATTCATTATCAAATTTGACAAACCTACCTCGGTTACACGACAAGGTTTTTTAGATGATCCGCACTTTATCAGGATTTTTATAATTTGAATCATGAATTTATTTCGATTGGCTGACACATAAATTACCAACACTGTTATGAACACGGCATCTTTATTTAATTCGCAATTCGTGATAAATGGAATAATTACGATAAATTGTATATTGGCTCTGTGACCAAAATTTCAAAAAGCTGGAAGAAAATAACTAACCTGTATTGAATGTAAAATACCTTATGAATGTTCTAACAAAATTTATAACAAAAAGTCCAAATTGTTCAGAAAAAGCTGAAAAGATATTGGAAGACGATATTATTAGAAATGAACAACAAAAACACAACAAATAAAATAAATAAAATTACCAACGATGGAATTGAAGTATTCTTTTTAAAATACTATTGTTTCTAAAGATTGGAAATATCAATTAATTCAACCTCAAATGTTAAGGAAGACGTATCACAACCCAAAGTGGTCGAAGTAAGAAACAACAAACTATTAAAAATAATAAATTTGGTAGTGCAACAACAACAATCTCAAATTTTTCACAAAAAATGCCCGAATGATATATCATACAGCCCAAAGTGGTTAACAAAAAAGAGTTCAAGTTTTCTTATTATTAACTCTGCATTTTACTGTCAATAGTCAGAATCTTGAATCGTTTTTTAATCTTAGAAATTTAGAATGACAAAAGGCCCACTTTAATTGTAAATCTTGTTTCAGTGAGTGAGATAAAGCCATATTCACAATATGGGGTAGAATGGAGAACAAAAGAGATACCAGTCTTTGAAGCATTGTAATCTAATAAATTATAATTTGTTGTCATCATATTTGCTTTAGTGTTATTAATTCTATTATTATATTTAAAAAAGATAAGTTTATTGAAAAATGATATAACAGTTGATTTATCATGAACAGACAAGGGTATTTGAATATATAATTAGAATCATTATTTAAAAGAATTTTATTGAGTATGAATATATTTAAATTTATATAATAATTAATATTCTAGTTTATATTACTGCTATTAATATTACTTACTATTGATACACTACTATTAGAATAAGAATTGTTACGCGACCATTATTATAATTATTTGTATTAGATAACTGGTAAAAATCAAATTTTACTTGCAGTAAATGTTTGTTAAGATGCACGGACGACTTAGGTTATATGAGGCGTGCTCCATATAACGCTCCATTTTCTTCAATTAACTTTGATTTTTCAACCTGAAAAATTTTTTTGTATCACGTTATTAATTCATTTGTAACGGTGTTTAGAAATTCCATATTTGGTCTGGAAAATTTTCCGTTTGATCTGCGCACCATATTAATATTAATAAAGTCATTAATAGAATAATGTCTGAAGAACAAATAAATAGCAAAGAAAAGCCTACAGTTATCGCTTCATCTTCTGAAGTTACTAGTGTTGATGGTGGTAGTAGCAGCAATAGTAATGATAATAATAATAATGATAATAAAGAACAAAAAAATTCAGAAATTACAATTATAAAAGAAAAACTTGCTGCTGGTAAAGTCGCAAAAGATAAAGGAAATGAATTCTTTAAAGAAGGAAAAGTTAAAGAAGGTTAGTTGTTGGCTTTTTTGGTCATTAATAATTATAATTAATTTTACTTTTATTTATTTATTTTTTGAATTTAGCATCATTTCAATATCATCAGGCAAGTCTCAATTTTTTGTTTAATTACAATTTGTTGAAAATGCCTTATTTAATTTTTTTTTAATTTGGTAGTAATTAATCAATGTTAATTGCTAGGCTTTGTTTTATATAAATGGTTTACAAGTAACTAAAGACTTTGGGATTTTTCGTAAAGATCTACAAGAAGATGATGATCAAACAAAAAAAAATCCATTACAAGAAGATATTAAGAAAACTACCAGTATAATATATAGTAATTTGGCTGGTAAATATATATGATCTTTAAAATCCAATTTATTTAGATAAACATATTATTATAATGATGACAATGATGAGGTAATAATATAATGAATAATAATAGCATGCGTTCTTAAAAATGAAAATTGGAGTAAAGCTATTGAATATACACAAAAGGTAATCATATTATTATTGATATTATTTTTAATGATGAATGGATGAAAAAATCTAATTGTTTAATTATTTTTGGAATTAGGCCTTAAAAAATGATCCTGATAATATAAAAGCTTTGTACAGACGTGCTCAAGCTTACATTGGTGATGGTAACACGGATAAGGCCAGAGAGGATTTGAATAAATTGACTGAGAAAGATCCTAATGGTAAACAAATATAATAATAATAATGATGATAATAATAATAATATAAAAAGTTAGATAATAATAATAATAATAATAATAATAATAATAATAATATGACTTTATAGAACCAGGAACACAAAGACTATGGAATCTTCTCAAACAAAAAGAAAAACAACAAGAGGAAAAACAACGTAAAGATTTTAGAGGAATGTTTGATCGTATGAAAAAAGATGAGGAAAAGGAAAAAACTGAAAAAGATGCTTCTAATAAAACATCAGAAACAAAGCAAATTAAACCATCATCAAAATCATCACATAATGAAAAAATAAAATTAAACAAAGGCGAAAAAAGTGCCATAGAAAAACAACTGGAAGCAAAATTAAGTGAAAACGAAGAGCCCAGAATTGTAGAGCTTGATGATTAATTATCAAAATATTATTATGTTGTAGCTAAATATAAATAAATATATATTTCGTGCATGTATGTTAATAAAACATTATATTGTAATTTAATTCGTTCATAATAAACAGTTGATTGATTGTAATTTCTTTAAGTCAGTAATAATTATTATTATTATTAGAAAAACAACATTTTTTTATTAACAAGATTAATTGTTTTTGATGAATAAATATAAATTATTTTTTTAATTAATTGTTTATCATATCGTATACTTACACTTAACATAATTGAAAACCATTTAGGATTATCATTTTTTATTTGCAAGCCCAGATCTGAAATAAGCAATATCACCATCTTCAAAAATATAATCTTTTCCTTTTTGTAAATATTTACCAGATGCCTTTACTGCACTTTCTGTCCCATGTTCTTTTAAATCATCAAACTTCATAATTTCTACCAAAATAAATCCTTTCTCAAAATCACCATGAATACTATAATTATATAAATACAAATTTGATTAATAATTATATTATATTATATAATAACATATGTAAATTAATTAATTACATACACTCCAGCAGCTTTTGGTGCTTTTGTTTGTTTCTAATTAGATATATGTAAAAGAAGCAATAAATTAATGAAATGTTATAAATATAAATTCATCACACTCAAACAAATAAAAATAAAACCAAAATAATAATAATATTTACTCTAATTGTCCAAGCTCTAACTTCATCAGGACCACATGTGAAGAAATAAATTAATTGTAATGCTTGATATCCTGCAACAATGATTTTTGGTAGAGCGGATTGAATTTCTAGCTCCTTTAATAAATTATCCTTTTCTTCTTTTGTTGGTAAAAGTGAAAGACGATGTTCAAGCGACACACTCAATGGAAGTAATAAATCTCCTGGATTATTTTCATCAATCCAAGACTTTATTTTTGGCAGCCTGATTTACAACAAAATACCATTATTATTATCATTAATGATTTTTAAAAAACCCCTATAAATTTTTCTTTAGTTTACCATTTATTTTTTTTACGAATATAATCTTTTTCACTCAAGTTTACCAAATAAATTACAGGTTTTGCAGTAAGCAAATGTAAAGAATTAATGATTTCAACCTGTTGTGAATTTCTCTGTTAATATTTACATATTATATATATTATATAAATGAAAAGTGTGTATTATATAAATCACCTCTTTATTATTCCAATTTGCTTTTCTAACATCTTTGTTATCTTGAACAGTTGTTAAAATTTTTTGTGTAATTTCCTACAAAATATTATAATATATAAAAAATCAAATATAAATAAATGTAAATATAAATAAATAAATTTATATTAATGTTATTTATTACCAATTCTTCTTTTCTAGCTTTATCAGCTGTACCTCCACCTTTTCCAATACGTGCAACATTTTTTGATAACTCTTCAACTTTTTTACCCAAAAATTCCTCATCTTTAAGACGAAGTTCATGGTGAATAATTTCTAAGTCTCTAATAGGATTAATTTCTCCTTCAACATGAATTACATCTTCTTCAGAAAAAGCTCCTAATTTTAATAACAAATACAAATTAAAAATAATAATAGCAACAATATTTAATATATTTATATATAATTTTCATTGATTTAAAGGATACGAACAACATGAAATATTGCATCTACAGCCCTAATATGACTAAGAAAGTTATTTCCTAAACCAGCACCAGTAGATGCACCTTTAACCAAACCAGCAATATCAATAACACTAAGATAGGCTGGCACCTTAGAAGCTGGTTTATATGATTCACATAACCAATCAAATCGAGTATCTGGTACTGCAACTCGTGCTTCTTCTGGATCTGTATAAATGATTATTATTGTTAATATTTTTCTTTAATTTTAAGATATTCACATAGATGTGTACCAACCAATTGTACAAAATGGATAATTTTCTGCTGCTACAGCACTATTTGTAAGGGCATTGAAAAAGGTTGACTTTCTGTAAAATATATATATATGTCAAAAATTTTTTTTCTATTATTTTCAGGTGCTCTTAATATATAATATAAAAAAAGTTTTTTTTATAAAAAAAAATTTTAAATGAAAAAGAGGCTCATTACTTATATCTATTATAAGAAATTTTATCAAATGCTAAAAAATAAAATAAAAGAAAAGAAAGAAAAAGTGACATACCCGACATTAGGTAAACCAACAACACCAATCTTCAAATTATTACTTGGCCTACCAAGCAGTATTTTCTCTTCTTTAACTACTTTTTTTGGTGGCATGTTTTTTTTAAAAAGTTTTAAGGTATAACTAAAAGTTCTTAAGATGTTATTATGTTTATTCTTATTTAGTTGAAAAATTAATTTTTTTTTCGCGAAATTACACCATCTCAAATTTAGAACAGAAGCTCTAAAGACCATCCATCATCAGCATAGTAAAGATTCCCTGATTTTGGTAATTATAGTTGTACAAACCTCGATAATCATTTGTCATGTGATTATTAATCTGACCAATAAAACAAATTTATTTACCAAATATTAAAAGTTAGGTCTTCAAGATGTTCTTGATCCATCAGCAGATCTAAGAAATGTAATCAAGAATATTCAAATATTTAATAATAATAAATATAAATATATATTATAAGAATGGGTCAAATCCAAAATCCAAATATTGTACAAATCAATGAAAGGGATTTTCATGATTTATAACCCCATGGCTTCACACATTGTGTTCAATGGGTTCAATGGGTATTGAACTCACTACCAATTCACATTTGCACAAATTAACACACAATTACTAACATTAAATTATATGGGGCATACTGTAACAAAACCAGACAAAGTGAACATTAGTGTTACTAAAGATTTCAGGAATCAAATTACATTTATCTCAAAGTGATTATCCGAGGGATCTACATGCATATTTTCTTATAGAGTAAATTGGAACAGAGTCCAAGGCTGAAGATACTGCCTTCAAAAGCCTATTCCAGGTATAGTCACAATTTTCTCTTGTACTTTTTAGCTGCACCCAATACATTTCAATAAATTTAATTGGGAATTTTTTTGTGTGATTCAATTGATCAACCATGTGATCACATGAAGTGATGAAAACTGTCACGTGATGTGCAAATTTTATTGCTTTTTTTTAAATATAAATACTCATTTTAAAATCTGGTGGGTTTTCTCAGATTTGGTGCACTATTTTTTTTTGCATTAACACTACTGATTTTAACTAATTGACAGTTCATGTGTAAAGAAGTGCATAAGCTGGAAAGAGGGAAGCAAAAACTCAAATATAAAAAGATTAATCCAAACTTTATTTCTGATCACTAGATCCTAAAAAAAATTACTAGAATAAATTTTTAAAATATCCTGCAATTAACTCTAATACTAAATTCAAATGATAAAAATAAATTAAGCCATAAATATATTTGACAATGTATTAAAGTAATTCAAAAGCATTTAAAATTTTTGTGAAAAAATCAGTTTTCATTGTGGTGTTCTGACTTCATTTAAATTAGGAGAATTGCATTCAGAGTTTTCTTCTTTTTCCTCTCATGTTTGTGGAATTTAAATCTTTGAACACTTCTTCAATTTCAGACAACTTCACCCAGGGTTGGCATTTTTAGGTGTCCAATCAATTTTTATTTGGATTTGTCCTGTCCAATTGTCCAAATGCCACAGTAACTATTAGTCCAAATTACCTAATACAGTAAATTGGACACAAATTGGACAATTGGACAAGGGGTATTTGGACAGATTTGCCAACACTGACTTCACCTGTAAAACTTTTAAATTAGTTGCATATTCATATATCATTAATCAAATAATGACATAATAATAAGTACTTCCAATTCTCTCAAGACATAATATAATTCTTCAAATAATAAACAATCATTATCTGATGAAGGTATCATTGTTTTATCCAATATTCCAAACAGATATATCCCATTTTCATACCATTGCATAGTGCAAGTGTGCAAAATACAGCTCATGATGTGTCCAATAAATATATAAGAAAAAGTCCAATATATAAATCTCCTTGTATCAGCACACAGCTCAGGGTTCTCAATTCTCTATATCAGGCCTCTATATTGGCACACAGCTCAGAGCCTACTCAAAACTCTATTGCGCAATTTTCTCTCTCTCTACAGTACTAATACTAAGTACTGCTGGCAAAAGCCTAAAATAAATAAATAAAATAAAAAGAATATATACAAGAAATATTTACAACTATACCACTTGAGGTGTCCCTACAAGCAGCATAGAACAATCAAACAGGGTGGGGGTTCCTAACTAATGATTAGTGGCCAGCCACTAATCATCAGAGAGGACCATGGAACAATTCACAATGGCTTTTCCTATTAACTATGCAAAAATTCGTAATAAGGTAAAATGTGTTTGTTTAATTATTAACAACGGGGGGGGGGGGTATTTATTCATAATAGATTATTATTAATGTTATTAACACGATCTACTTTTTTTCACTTGGTCTAAAACCAAGCCTTTTTATACCTCTTGAGGTATTACAAATAACATGACTTCTACTCTATTTTGTCCAATAAAATATGCTTATTAATCCTATTTTCTGTATTACTGGCTTGCTAATTGCTAATTACTAATCCTCTGACTCATAATTACTAATACTATGAGTCATTAATACAAATAATTTGGTTAATAATTCGAAGTAAATAATTATGTCATAAAATAGAAATGATATAATGATCTACATGTGTAATGTGGTGTGCAACCGTCGCAATAAATATAGAAAGATGATCGTTAATCGTGATGTAATATTTAGCGCATCACATGACTTCAGTAGTAAGTTCGTTCTAATTGGTCAATATTAATGGTCAATTGGTTGGTCCACGGTTTACAATCTCACAATAGCATAAATATTGATTTCAAATCCTATATTAAAGAAAAATTATCATTAGATAATAGATTTGCATATTAATATATGGTGCTAACAAAATAAACATGCCATACTGTGTCCAGCCATATATAATCAATCTTCTTCATTTATCATCATTTATATTTTTCCAATTCTTCAACATTGAATTTAATGAATCTCTCATTATAATAGAAAGCTTTACTTTATCTAGGAACCTTTTTTTCATGATGCAGCTGGCAGTCCAGATGAATCAAACCTTCACCAAAAAGAATTTCAGCTTTGATTGAACCTCTGATTAATGTTCCAAGCATATTTACCTTGCATCCAATTCTGCATTGCAGTAACTTCTAGTCCAAATAAGCGTCTATATCACAGCGGACTATAATTATAATGGATTTTTAAAAATTTTGCTTCACATTCACATTAAAATATAAAAACATAAAAATCCATTGTGGCAAGATCAGTAAATCTTGCCACAACGGGTTTTAAATAAATCTTCATTCATCCGCTGTGACAAGATTTGACTGTATTTAGTGAAGCTGGAAACACAATGACAGCCGAACGAATAAATCGAATCCGTTGTTATTTGTATTAAAAAAAAATGCAATGTATTGAAAATATTTTTCCTGAGGAATAAATAATTATTATAAATCAATGAATATTCAATGGATATTTGGCGGATATTCGGTGAATGACCAATTATCCGAATGTTGAGTTTTATTCACTGACCGATTATCCGGGTTTTGAGCTTTGTTGATTGACCAAGTACTCAAACATCCGGATAATCAACGGATACAACCACTACTTCATACTTCAAGGTCACTTAATAGTTTGGTTTTTTGAAAGAAAATGACCTATTTATAAAATTATACACACTTTGGCTCTATATTCCCTCAAGGAAAGCATCAGCTTCTCATTAAAATTACAATATGACGTAGCTCGATAAAGTGAATTTTTGCTATAATGGAACTTTTTTAGTTTACATTTATAAAATCAACCAATAACTTGATAAGACGAATACTATCGGTTTATCGAAGAAACTTTGTTTTACAAAGAAATGTGTGTTCTAAAAACAATTGAAACCTATGCTAACGAATAAAAAAAGACATTGCTATTTGTTTTAAAATTCGTTAGAAGTAACATTTTATTATATAAAAGTTAACGAATATATAAATTTTGATGGTATAACCTTTTAAACCAAATTTTTTAAAAATATATCAACTTCATTTTTATCAAGGACTACTTAATAAAGTGAATTTTCGAGCCTAAAACAAGTACATCGGGTTAACGAGTTCCGGCTATGTGCCCCACTGCTCTATTTCCTGATCAGAAACACGGAAGAACATAAAGCCAGTCAAATTCCCCATTCAGAACTTTGATATTAAATGAACCAACTTCATTATACTTACTGGGCCAACAAATTGTTTGAAGAAAGAGCAAACTTAGGCGGTTTTCCCATATATCCATCTTATTTTTTTAAAATTCAAGATTAAATAAATGCATACTGTATTTGCCCTTTCATCAAGAGCATCACATCACCACAAATAATTCTATTAATAATTGCTGTCAATAGATAAATTTTTTTGTGATCATATATATATATATAAAGATCTGATGAATCTTTTAATTAGATTCAATTTATAACATAAAAAAATAATTACATAAATTAAAATTTTGTTTATATAATAAATACAAGAAATTTATAGTTTAAAATCTATTGTCATATCCCATCCAATTTTAGGTCCATATTTTGGCAAAGCTTCTGCCACTGAACTTACATCTTTATCTCCACGACCACTAACACATAACAAAATATCTTGATCTTTTCGCATTTTTGATGCAAGTTCTAATGCATAATAGATGGCATGACTTGTTTCAAGAGCTATATAAAAAGTATAAATATTATTGTTATTATTGTTATTATTACTATTAATTATCATGATCCTTTAATTATTACCTGGAATAATGCCTTCAAGCTCTGACATTTTTTTGAATCCTATTAAAGCTTCTGTATCAGTAACTGCTACATATTGAGCTCGACCTGTATCTTTTAGCCATGAATGTTCAGGTCCTACTCCTGGATAATCCAATCCTGCACTAATACTATGTGTTGCTTTAATTTGTCCATTTTCATCTTGTAACAAATATGTACGTGTTCCATGTAATACACCTGGTGTTCCAACAGTTAAAGTAGCCGAGTGAAATTCCGTATCAATTCCTTTGTTTTTTTTTATTTTATAAAATATTGATGCTATTATTATTCTGTGAATTTCAAAAAAGATCCATTTAAAATCACATAATTAATTAATGCACCTACCATCACCACCAGCTTCAACTCCAATAAGTTTCACACTTTTATCTTCAATAAATGGATAGAATAATCCTATAG